CCCCCCCCCCCCCCCCCCCCGGCTACATCCTAACCCGGGTTCTGCTGGTCCCGCTGCTCCACTCAGGATCACAGCACTTGAAAGGAGCCAGGACCCATGACATCCACCCATCAAACAGGAGCCGTGCTGCCCTCTTTGAGGGAGGTGAGAAGACCACTGGCCAAGGGCTGCCAAAGCATGGTGCCTGGTCAGCGGCCTGCTCTATCGTGGACAGCTCTGCCCACCCTGTGTCCCATGGCCAGTGGCTTTGGAGAGTCTGGAGAGCCCTCCTCCCTGCATTGCCCACCCTAGCGCCCCCTGAGCACAGGACAAACATGAGGCCTGGGTCCTGGCAGTGGGATTGCACACGGCGGTGGGATTGCACACACCGCTGGGCAGGAAACATGCACTTGGGCTGTGAGTGCTGAAAGCAGTGAGAGCCTGGAGATCTCCAACGTGGGCGGAGGGAGTGGCTGAGAAACCACACCCAGCCCTGAGCCTGAAGGGCGCAGAGTCTGTCCTCGGTGGGTGGCTGTGGGCACTGACCACCACAAGCTCATCATCTCCCGGTGGCTGTGCATGGGGACAGACTGCAGAGGGCAAGCTCAGCAGCAGGGGACTCAGCTCACGGGCTGCTGTTGGCCTGGACTGGGCCTGGGAGAGCCAGAGCCAGGCAACTCCAGGCCTCGGCCGAGCAGCGGGCTGACGGAGCCATCATTTATTTAGAGGAAAGTGGGAGCAGGAGCCAGTGGGACAGGCGGAAACTCCACTTTGCACATGAGCTGGTGGAGACCCCAATGTCCCAGCGAGATGGCAAGACAGCTGCTCGATCACGGGGACCAGGAGGCATGACCTGGGTATCTACAGCCAGGGCTCTCACATGCACAGATGCAGACGCAGGCACGTGGGTAAACAGGAAACTGATCATGTCAAGGCCACATGAGGCAAGAGGAGGCGCCTGCCCAGGCTCCCGGCCATCCTTCCTGAGCACCTCTCTGGTGCACACAGTAGGGCCCTGGGAGCCGAGGGCAGTGGGCTGGGAGTGTGGTCTGCATCTCAGAGATGGGCAGATCCATGTGGCTCAGGAGGAAGATGGACGCTGCTCCATCTGGTGGCCCCCTTGCTGGTGGAGGGAGCCCGGCAAGTAAGTTCCCACCTCTCTGAGCCTCAGTTTTCTCACCTGCAAAATGAGGTCCTGACCCCAAGCAGCCTGTGGGCATTGGAGGACATGGCATCAGAGCACCAGGCTAGGGCCAGCTGGGCCAATCCTGGGAGACAGAGGCTGTGCAGGGGGCCCTTCCCCACAGTGCCTGGCCCTGCCACCCTGCTCGGCTGGCCTAGGCTGCAGCAGAGCTCAGTGTGGAGCCATCCTGCTCAGCTGAGGCCACCATAGAGGCTGTGCAGGGGGCCCTTCCCCACAGTGCCTGGCCCTGCCACCCTGATCGGCTGGCCTAGGCTGCAGCAGAGCTCAGTGTGGAGCCATCCTGCTCAGCTGAGGCCACCACCTTGGACAGCTGGCAGCACCCCTCTGGACACACACGTGGCTGCAACCCCTTGTTAAGCTCCTTGCTTCCACTGACCTTCGAATCCTGACCTCTCCTCTTCATCTGCCTGACCTCTCAGGCAAAGAGCTCTGAGATCACAGCACGCTTCTGGCCTAGGAGGCAGAGGCCTTCCAAGAAAAACCCCATAAAGGCGCTGCTTGACTGGAGCCAATGGATGGGAGGGTGGAGGAATCCTGAATTGATCTCCTGGCTCCAGGGAAATTTTGGACCCCGACAGACCCTAACCCCTAGCAAGGCAGACCTAAAGGTAGTTTTTAACCCATCTGGTGCCACCGGGCCTGAGGGACAAGCGGCCTCACTGCCAGGTGGCCCTCCTGACCATGGGCCAACAAGGGACGTGACCAGGCAAGAGGAGGACATCTCTGGGCATGGAGGGCAGAATCTGGGATCTATGGGCTGGGGTTGGGTTGACAAAGGTCTTCCAGCTGATGCCCAGAAGATGACACTGACTCACCCTGTCCTGAGGAGGACGAGTTCATGGGGCACGGCCCAGGCAGAGCATCTTTCGCACCCACCCCCTGCTTCCCAAAGCGTGGGCCCAGGCTGGTGGGCAGGATGACTGTGGCACTGGCATTGGCACTGACGCTCAAGCTGGGCCCTGCTGAGCTGCGTTGGGAAGCTATGGAACTGACTAACGTGCCCATGATGTGGGGAGTGGACCAGGTAGGTGGCAGCACCGAGCAGATGTCTGAGGGCCAGACAGAGGTCCCGCCGACTGACTGGGAAGGGAGCGTGGACGAGAGCCTGCGTCTTAACACCATGTAGTGTGGGCCAAGCTGTAGCAGGAGCTCACAAAGCCCACACCGGAGAAGCGCTGGGCCTGGTCTTGCACTGCAAAGTCCTTAGGGACCCAGGTGACACACCGAGGGCAGGAGAGAGAGCAGGAGTGCAGGAGGCACCAGGCAGCTGCCTCACGGTAGCCCCATCATACATGCCTCAGGGATGGGTCAGAGTGGGCAGGGGAGGGGTGGGGGTGTGCCAGGGCCCCGGCCCGCACAGAACTCACTCGTAGAAGTGGGCTTTGGAGATGGACAGGAAGCGGCAGTCTCTGTTGGCCTTGATGGTGAAGACGAGGGGCTCGCCCGTGAGCACTGCCAGCTGGCCCACCATCTCCCCAGGGTGTGTGACGAACAGGCAGGTGTCCTCCTGGCTGTCGATCTTCCGCTGGTACACATGCAGCAGCCCCGAGACCACGAAGAGGACGCTGACGTCCTGACAAAACCAGAGAGGCAGTGATTGGTGGCAGGAGCTGCACTGGGCAGTGACTGGGGACGTCATGTGAGCCCAGGCCTAGGTAGTTATGGCCCCGGCACGTGGACAGCACTGCTGGGCTTGGCTGGGCCCCATGAAGCCACACACAAGGGCAGTGACAAGCTTCTCTGCCTGTTTTTGCCTCTTTGTGTAATGTGTGGACATCACTAGCCTTCGGCACAGATTTTAGCTGGAAACGTTCTAGCAGCATCTACGGTTTTATTACTTAATCACCAATCACAGAAAATTTGCCTTTCGTAGGTCCATGCGTGAGCCCAGCCTCAGAGTCACGCACCTTCCCTCCTGGCACCTCCTGCTTCTCTGTTCCACACAAATGCCTGTCGGGCCAACATTCCCACAGAAGCCAAGACATAACCTCTTTCCCTTAAAATCCTGTACTCCATGCCTGCGGCCAGGCCTCTGAGGGCACCTCCTCCTCTCCCCACACAGCTGACAAGTCCTGCCTGAGTGGCGCCAACACCCAGCCCCATGTCTCTGCTGCCCAGCACACATCACACACGTTTCAGCCCCAGGCTTGCAAATGTGTCCCATGAAACCCAACTGACCTGTGTCCACCGTATGACCTCCTCCCAAATCTGCTCACCCTTCCCCAACTCTCTGATGTGAGCAGAAAGGGCTGTCGGGGGCACAGTCTCAGACGGGGTCCGGAGGCATGGTGACTACTGCTGGCAGACCTCCCTGGCCTGGCGTCCAGTGCCTCCCCTCCTCCAGTACTCCTGCCAGTGTCGGGCAGTCCCAGTGACCACTTCCTCAGGATCGAGGCCTTTTGCTCACCTGGTCTCCCTGTCGTGACACCACAGTGCCTGCAGGGACATGGAGAAGCACCACCCGGCCATCCAGCAGGGACGGGTCCTGAAAAAACAGAGCAGCTTTCGAGAAAGGGCACATGAAGAGACGAGCTGAATGGAGGAGCAAAGAACGGAGGCTGCGCAGGAGCTGCTCCAAGGACTGTCCCCAACATGGGCAGACACCAGCTCACGCTGCACAGCCCTGATGTCAAACTGGTGATGTGACACAGGAACAGAACACAAGGAAAGGCAGAAACAGACACCAACATTTCTGTGAATTTATGTGAGAGAGAGAGAGGATTCGTGTGAGTGAGAAAGGGTGATTTATCTCACAAATGGCACTGGCATAACTCATACCTAGCAAGGACACTAATTGGGACTCCTTTCCATACCACCTACAAAACTAGTGCCTGCAGATGACACATGCCAGGCTGGCATGAGCCTGGAGTCTAGGAAGCTCTTGGGATGACCGGGCAGCATCCAAAGCACCAGGGCCCGGCACAGGGAGGCCCCAGGGGCCAAACACAGGCAAAGCAGGTGTCCCTGAGGACGCGCCTGCAGAGGCAAAGCAGGATCCCATGAGGACATGGCCACAAAGGCGTTGCGGCGTGCTCACAGCCACAGCTCATGGTCACAGTGAAACGTGCACAGGAAGAAGCTCCCTGCTCAACTACGGAGATGACAGGGGACCAAATCACTAATTTAAACCTCCCAAACCCTGACGGTGAAGGGACCTACGCCCTGGGCACTGAAGGCTGCTGACGTTCCCTGAGGGGAGGAACCGACATCACAGCCTCCTGACGGAAGGGCAGGACACCTGCAGCCTGGCTGTGCGGAATGGGAGGGCGGGAGTGGCCGGGAGGCGGAGGAGGGTCTGACCTGGCCCAGCTCCCACCACCAGGCCGCAGGCGACAGCCACGAGAGGAGCACAGCCTCCTCCATCGAAGAAGCGGCAAGAAAAAAGTCAGCCGGGGCCTTGAGAGAAGAGACCCAGAGGACACAGACAGCAGCGCGGCGGGGGCCTCCCCATCACTGTGCCCCTGATGAGCGGCTGGAATACGGATCATGACCACACAGCTGAGGACACAAGATTATTACTACGTTTTCAGGAGTGATAACACTGCTGTGTTTATGTGTTAAAATGCCCTCGTCTTTTAGAGCTCAGCACTGAAATATTTACTCGTGACACACGATGATGACGGAGTTTGCTCCCAGGGTGGGGCGCGCGGGAGGCCGCAGGTGAGGCAGGACGGGCCGTGGGCGGGCGTCACTGCGCTGGGCGGCCCTCTCCTTCATCCTGTTGTTCTACCTATTTGGCATGTATTTGGATATTTCCATGACAAAAAGTTGTTTTAAAAGAGAGGTTCGATGGGGCCGGCCCGGTGGCGCACTGGATAGTGCACCGCTTGGGAAGCACGGCGGCGCTCCCGCCGAGGGTTCGGATCCCACATAC